ATGACTGTTCCAGCTACTGAACCAAGGTCCCTGTGCCTCGGCTGCCTGGCAGAACTGTGGCGAGGACTAATGAAGTGCCCACAGGAGAAGCCCTTCCTAAACCTAAAGCGCCCCTTCAGGGTCCGTTTTGTCCTGATAATTATGAGAAGGAGGAGCCCAAGAATTGGCGTCCTTCAGAGGAGGAACTGCCTCCCTCTGCCTCCCCCCCTGCCCAGGCCTGGGCCAGCTCTGCCAGGCTCAGGAAGGTTCTCCTGAGCTCAAGCACAGCAGAGACCCAGTTGGGACAGCAGGAACTCAGGGTGGAGAAGACTCTGGGCATTGTCTTACTGGGGGGAACCTGGGCCCCATGCTATTCTCTGGACACACCTGTCAGCACCCCTGCAAAAACCACCTGGAATCCAAGGGCTTGGGCCCTTGTCACTGTGGAAATCCAAGTGCCCCAGCTCCTGGAAAAGGAGTTCCACATTTACCAACCTCCCACCTGCTCAGGCAACCAACGGGTATTCATTGAGCCTGTTCTCCCTGCCTACCACCAGATCAGGTGACAGGGGAAGACATGATTAACACGTAAGAAATAGTGAAAAATATACCATGAAATATAATTGAGTGCTAAATCCAACAACATTAACAGTAAGGACTGCAGGGTTCAGAGATGGGAAGAGGTCAGTGTGAACTAGAGAAATCTTAGAGAGCTTCCTGGAGGAGGAAGTAGCTCTGGCCTCAACCCTGAAGCATGGATAGGGGAAGGCACAGCAGGAACAAAGGTGGGGGCAAGGAAGGAGCGTGACAAGGACAGGGGGAGGCTGGTCCCTCATAGGGGACCTTTCTATTAGAGAGCTGTAGTGACGTGGGGTGGGTTGACTGTGGAGGCCAGAGTGTTGAGGCATTGAGAAACAGGCAGAGGATGTCTGACATGATGGGGGAGACGATGAGCAGCCACTGCAGGTTCTATAGCAGGGCCTGGTCATGATTAAAGCAGAGCTTAATCTTTAAGAGGATTAGTGAACAGGTGAAAGGAATAGGACATGGGACAGACAGAGACAACAGCTTCCCAGCACCAGGAATTCCCACTTCAGCCTCAGGGATGGAGTAAATGTCACATTTTCTTCATCCATTGATTTTAAATTTCATTCATTTCATGGTATTCTAAGTCTACCTAAAATATTTGAGGGGGAAAGCCCAAGGAGGTAGGTAACTTTGGGTAGACAGAAAAGTAAAGAGTAGGCCTCACTCAATAACTACAGTCTGATTGATAAGTGAGGTCAAAGAAAAGGAAATTAAGCTGGGGGCAGGGGGGATTTGTTTTGAGGGGAAAAGGCCCCCAGGTGAGCCATGTAGATAGGGGAAGGGGCAGGTGCAGGCTAGGGTCTGGTGGAAGTTCAACATCAGGACACACAGCCCTTCAGGCCGTGACCTGGCCCCACCCCACCTTCCCAGCTACACTTCCTGCTGCTCTCTGCCCACATGCCCTGTGCCCCACCATGATAAACTTCCATCCCAGAACAGGAAAAGTCCATGCTGTTTTGTGCTTCAGGACCTTTGCACATGCTGTACACCTCCTTCTGAAATGCCCTTCCTTTCCCCTTCCCTCCATTCCAGTTCAGCCTTGAAAAGCAAAAAGCCACTTCTTGCTGATGCATGGATGGCCCTGGGCAGAATCAGTCTCAGCCCCTGCTCAGGGCAGTGCTCTTTCTACAGGTGCCATGAACCCTCACCCTATTAGGGGATAACTAGGAATTCTCTCTGCTTCTGGTAGCCCCCTATCTTATGTGGCGCTCAGACACGGAGGGTTCTGGCAGTCAGCTCAGTAAAGGTGTGCTGAATGAAACTTTAAAGAGCAGGTGTTGCATTCTGAGATTAGGAAATGCTGGCTGGACCTTCAAGTGGCACTGCCTGGGGAACAGCGGGAGATGAGCACTGAAGCCTGGGTGGTTCATCAGGAGGGAGGTGTTTTTTGGGGGAGGAAGGTGGGTGGGTGGATCTAGGAGAGCTGATAATGGGTAAGTGGATCAAAACTGGCAGAAGCAGGGGGTAGAGATCTGGGGGTGCCACAGTTAAGGGACAGAGGTTGCTGCCGAGGAGACACAGCTGAACAAGGTGGGAAAGGACCCGCAGGGGTGGCAGGAAGGCCTAGGCAGGCAGTTTCAGAAGAAAGGGTGAAGTGCCAAGGAACTAAGATGAGATGGAAAACAGAGGATGATTTCCGTCCCCTTGCTACACCACTTGGAGAACAGGCCAGACAGCCGCGGTTACTAAGCTTCAATCCGAGGGGAACTTGGGAATCCTGAAAGCTACCTGTTACCCCAGCATGCTTGTTAGCCGCAGCCAGCCCTGAGAGAGCGTGGTCTTGGGGGGCCAGGCCCCACATGCGAGCAGGAAGCCTCACCTCTACGCCTTGTTTGCTGGGGGAACTTGGGGCCGGTGGCCTAAATCTGCAGCCCCAGTCCTCTAGTCCGAAAAGGAGGGATCAGCAGTTCTAAACCTTGTATGGAAGTCATGGAATTCTAATGGATATCTTTAACTATAGCATATGAAAAAGAAACAGTTTTACTAGCACAAAGAATATTTTGTTTGGAGGTCTCCGTATCGCAAGTCACACGTACCTAAATTTTTTTTTACATTAAATCAACTTTTTCGGTTTTTCTGTTAATGCTCATTGTGACCTTTATTGGTTGGGGGAGGGGAAGCAGATGCCAAAGGTTTAAGATTTACTAGAAAAGCTTTTGATGATTATTGAAGTGGGTGATAGGCACATGGGGGTTCATTACACTACCCTCTGTTCTGCTTTATGTTAGAAAATGTTCATGATAAAACAAGTCTTTAAATTTTAGTAGAAAGCTTAAAATTGAGAAAATGTATCTGTTATCTTAATTTTGTCTGCGAGTTGAGAAAAAGACTCCTTTTTAAAATTGTAACAGGACAGGCCTCCACACTGCTTCTTCAAGGGACACAATCTGAGAATCACAGAATTTCTAAAAGCTCTTCCAGGTCTAAAAGTCATAAAATCCAAGCTTCCTGCCCCAAAGCTACGAGAGAGCAGAAACACCACACATAACAAGGGGGTTAAAAACAAAGTCCGTAGGCCGGCCTGTGGCTCACTCGGTAGAGTGCGGTGCTGATAACACCAAGGCCCCGGGTTCGGATCCTATATAGGGATGGCCGGTTCGCTCACTGGCTGAGCGTGGTGCTGACAACTCCAAGCCAAGGGTTGAGATCCCCTTACCGGTCATCTTTTAAAAAAAAACAAAGTCCGTTTCTCTGAACTGATGGAGGGAATAGCCCCCAGTTCCTGAATTTCCATCCCAAAGACAACACTTCAATGCTCGAGGGTAAGAGCCTCTCTCCTCCCAGACCTTGGACCCACTGCCCTTTCTCCAGGCTCTTCCAGGAGGGTAATTTCTGCCTTCCTGGATCCAGAAGGAATCAGAAACAATCAAGTAATCAGAACCCCACTTTCTTCTGAACTTTCTCTAGTGCACAGTCTCACACAATGTAAAATGCAGAAGCCTGGGCTGAAGGTGAACTGAAAGCTGAAGTGAGAAAGTGAGACGCCCTCTCCCTTCCTGGTGCAGGTAGGTCAACACTCCCTTCTCCTTACACCCCCTTTTCTCTACTAATCAACACGTGAGACACCACCAAGTTGTTCTTGGTGAGCTGATTTCCCTCCTTGGTCTTTCAATCTCCACCGCTTCACCTCCTTTCACGGCTGCAGCCCTCCATGGGCTGGCTTCTACCTCCCAACCCTCCAACCTCCACAGAAGCTTCTCTTAAAAGTCACCAGCTCCTTCCAGGTTGGCCAAGGCCATGGACATGTCTGGGTGAACTCAGCTTCCCACAGGGCTGGGCAGCCACTTTCTGGGAAACGCTTCTGCTTTCTGAGACACCAGTCTTTCCTGTCTTCCTTCCTGGTGCCTTGCTAGTCCCCAATACCTGCAACTCCTCCTCTCTGTGTGGCCCATAAATGTTGGGGTTTCTGTGGACACTATTCTGGGACTTTGTCTCTTCTCTCTCTCCCCTGCTAGGTGAGCTCCTCCGCTCCCGTGCATGTAGATGCCAGGGTCCTACTCTTGACCCCACCTTTAAATCTACAGCCCAGACTTCCCTAAGCTCCAGACTTCAGGCACCTCAGCATCTCACACTGAACTCTTGATTCCCACCATCCCAAACCTGTTCCTCCCCCTGGTCTTCCCATCTGAGTAACTGGCACAACCATCACCAGGAGTTCACGCCAGACCTCTGGGAGTCGTGCTTGAGTTCCCCTGGCCCTCCCATCCCCCAGCAAGCCCCACTGATTCCATCTCCAAATACATCCTGAAGCTGGCCTCTGTCTCCACTGCTGCCACTTGAATCCACATCAAATCACTCCTCTGCACAGACACCTTCATTGGCTTCCAGGCATGCTTGGAATTAAACCAGCTTTTGGCCAGAACCTGCCAGGCCCTGTATGATGGGACCTTGCCTACCTCTCCAGCCCCAGCTGGCCCCTCTCTCCCTTGCTGAATTCACTCTGGGCACACAGTTTGCCAAACAAGTCAGGGCTTTGCTTGTGCTGTTTCCTCTGTCTAGAACATTCTCCCCCACTGCTCACAGATCCAGCTCTTCAGTCCCTTTAGATTTTAACTTGAATGCCACCTGCTCCAAGAAGCCTCTCTTAACCACCCCACCTAAAGTAGGCCTCTGCTATCTGCTGTTTCAGCCCCTTGTTTATTTGTTTTCTGTTCATCTCTTGAGACGTCAACTCCATGGGGGCAGGAACCATATATGCACACAGCCTAGTACACTGCCAGCTATATGATGTGTTCAATAAACATTTGTGGAAAGAACAAACTGACCAATTACTGCCTAGAGGTCAAGTGGTTCCCTGTAAGTTCAAGGGTTTAAACCGAAGGGGAAACAGGCTCACAAAGGGCCTGACAACAGCCCCAGAGGGTGGCTGAAGCTAACTTCTGGTTTTCCAGTTGTGCGGGACAGGCTGGGGCCCAGGCCAGAAGGCACCTCACCTCCCTTTTCCAGCGTGCCAGCCACTCGTCCCGCTTGCGCTTGCTGATATAGTAGGGGTCCCCCGCCTGGAAGGTGAGCCGCGGCATGGGCCGCTGGCGGAGGCTGGACTCCCAGCCCAAGCCACCCCGCAGCCGGCCCCGGGAGCCCTAGGACAGAGACGACAGACAGACAGGCATTAAGGTGGGCACTGGCAGCCCTGCTGCGGGGTTTATTCCTCCTGGAGGGGAAACCGAGGAGGCACTCACCTCGAACAGAATGCAGAAACTCTGGCTCCCGGCCACAGATGGCAACCGGGAGTGTGGGCAAGCCCTCCCTTGGCTAGAGAAGGCAGGGAGGGGGCTGGGGCGGGGGACATAGACCTTTGCAGGGAGGTGCTTGAGCTCTGGAGGAGGATGAGCTGGCTGCCTTACTGGGGGACTTCCAGCCTCCACACCCACTTCCTCTCCTCCTCACAGAGGGATGTGTAAAGAAGGGGGTGGGGGGAGCTACCACCTGGCCCCCCTCACACACACTCGCCACAGTCGGGCCAGAGCTGTGGCTTTCTTCTAGAGTCAGGATCCACAGAGCCCCTGGGGGTGAGGAAAACACTTGCCTCCATTTTCATGGATTCGATGTTGGTCTCCTTCTGTTCTTTGCCTGTGGAGAGGGAAGAACAAAGGACTGTCGGTGCAGTTACTGGAGTGGCTCAGTGGCCCCGCCTGGTGCCTGGGGTCTGCACCACAGGGGACAGGGGTCCTCCAACCATTTAGTTGGTCATGTATCAGGGCCAGGCACTGTGCTGGCCCTGAGGACTGAGAGTGAGGCCTAGAGCAGAGAAAGAACTGGGGCAGGGTTTGAGGCCCAAGTGCAAAAGGACAAGAGAAATGTCAGGGCTGTGGTGTCTGGCCCACTGACCCTGTCTCAGACACACAGAAGGGGACTAAAAGTACCCCCACTGCGCTGCTGCCAGTCAACAGAGCTCCTTTCCCAGAGGAGGGAGCAGGAAGGTAGAGGGGTACAGGCAGGGCTGGGCGTGAGGGAGCCAGGCCGCGCAGCCTTCCCTGGCCCTGGAAGGGAATGTCTGCTTCTGTATGTCGGGTGGGCAAAGATGCCCTGCAGGCCCGAGGGAGTATGTTGGGGGTAGTGGGACAATGGGCCAACTGGTAAGACCACAGTGAAGCAACTTCTCCATGAGATTCAGTTTCCTCATCTGGAAAATAAAGGTGCTAGAAATGATTTCCAAGGTCCTCCCGTAGTTCTAAATATTATTATTATCTATTATTAATATCTGACTCTGTTCTCCATTCTCTACCCCAATCTCAGGTCAGCCTTTAATCTAGAAGATTTTGGTTTAGATTCCAAATGATTCAGTGTGACCTCCGTAACCTCTTCTGGCCTCTTTCCTCATTGAATCAAGGTAGATGAATGTTCTAAAACCATTAGGTTATTGTGAACACGAAGTGCCTAGAGCAGAGCTTGGCATGCAGTAGGTGCTCAATACATGTTAGTGTTGTTCCCCTTCCCCTAAGAGAGTTGCTGGTCGGCAGCATTTCTCCGCTGCTCTTTCCCTGGCTTCTGGGAAGTCCCTCAACTGGGCCCTGAGGCCTGGAAGAGAAGTCTAGGTGGGGGGCAAAAGCCCCAGCGCTGTCTTTAGGAGGCCCCTACCCTCTCCCTGTGCTTCTCGGGGCCACGCTCCTGCAGAACATCCCTCTGCTCCTACCCTGGTCCTCACCTCTCAGACGCCCTTTCCAGGCCCAGCACAGCCCTGGATGCGGGTCTGGGCCTCATGCCTTCCCCAGCTTCCTGCTAGAGTCGGGGAGTGAGCCCTCCTTCCACCTAGGCCCCTAAGTGCCTTTCTCTGAAGCCAAGAGGGTACTGAGCTTGGGCCCAAGCAGGAAGGTCACTAAGGCTGGCTCATGGTAGCTGGGGAAGGAGGGTGGGGGATACAAAGAGCCAAAAACGGAAAAAACAGCCCCTGTTTCATCTCCTGGCTCTGAAGCGGAAACCAGCCACAGCATTTACAGCCTCGGGCGGGGGTGGAGGGGTGTCCCCTCCCTCTCCCCAGAGGAGTCCTGGGGCTCCTTACTGCATCTGTCCTCGGTGGCTCTGTCCTGGCTGACTCCTGCCAGCCAGGCCCGGAGCACTGGGGGAGGAAGGCAGGAAGGGCCTGCCCGTGGGTCAGGGCGCCTGGCGTGGGGCTGGCGGCGCATGGGGAAGGAGGGTGCCTGTGTCACTGCACGTGCGTGGGCGGCCAGGCGCGTGGCCTTGCCAGGCTTCGTACTGCGCCTCACCCGGGTGTCTCTGTCTCTTCGTCCCCGCTGCCTTTGTGTCTTCCCACCACAGCCGGCCCCCAGCTCTTTCGCCGGGATTCCCCTCCCGCCTGCCCTGGGCCCTCGGCGCTCCGCCCGGCCGGGCTCGGGTCTGCCAGAAGGGGGCGCCCGCCCGCGGGCAGGCTGTGGCCAGATGCCAGGCGACCCCCAGCCCGCCCCGCTCGGCTGCCAGCCCGGGGCTGAAGGCTGGGCCGTGGGGCCCTGGACCGCATTCCCTCCCCAGCCTCCTGGACCTCAGATATGTCCTACCTGGACCTCCATAGCATTTGATTACGTTTATGGGCAACGGTTTATTCGTTGGAACGGAAGGAAATCAAGGTTGAATGGAATCACAGAGATCGCTGAGTACTTGTCCAGCCCCTAGATTTTGCAGATGAGGAAACTGAGGCCTGGGGAGTGGAGTGACTTACTGCCAGAGCTGAGATCAGATTTCAGGGCTCCTGACTCCCAAGCCAGCTCCTTCTCCACTGCACCCCCTTGCCAGTGCCCCAGCCCCCATGCTCCCCAAAACAGAATGACTTCTCCTTATGCAGTTGCCAATTGGCTTCTTTCTGGAATTTTCTCCTGACAGACTGCGCATGCCCATTTGAGTGAGTGATCACACACACACACACACACACACACACACACTCTCTCTCTCTCTCTCTCTCTCTCTCTCCAGCCTGGCCCAGCAAAACAACACACTCGGCAGCAGCCTCAGAATGCGGCACTTGTCGTGAGTCAGGGTCAGCTGCTCCCTGAGCACTCCCTCTGCAGCCCATCTGCTCCTGGCCCAGACCCAGAGGCATGGGCAGGGCCAGGTGGCTGCTTGCCTTCCAGGGTGGCCCTGGCAGGCCTGAACATGACCCTAGGGCAGTTCAGGTCCTGGGGACAGGGGAGGACAGGGTGCTTCTAGCACTTACCTGTTGGGCTGAGACAATACTCAGGGGCCACCCCAAGTTCTCTTTAAAATAAACCCAAGTCTCCATGACAGGCCAGGTTTCCCTCAGAGGGCAGTCACTAGCCCAACACTGGGCCCTGTGCTCACTATAAGCAGGGACAAGCTTTGTGCTAACCCTAATCTGGTCCTTTACTAGTTGTATAACCAGTACATGGGTAAGTAACGTAAGCTTTCTGAACCCTCAGGCTCCCCATCTAAAAAATGGGGACAATAAGAGACTTCCTCACATGATCACAAGGATGAAATAAAAGAATACATATCAAGCAAGGCTTCTCAAACCTTAATATGCACGGAAATCATGAAGACCTCTTTAAAATGCAGATCCTGATTCAGCAGGTCTGAGGGGGGACCGGAGACTCTGCATTTCCAGCTTTCCAGGGTATGCCTACACTGCTGGTCTATGGCCACTGTGAGCAGCAAGGACAGCACATGCCCAGCACATAAGCAGCAGCCAGCAAAGGAGAGCTGCGCTGCCATCCTCACTGTTACCGTCGTCCGGCGCCATGCTAGGCACGCAGGAGCAGGCCCAGGGCAACCTCCAGCCTGTGCGGGGGCTGGCTCTCGTCCTTACTGCTCGTCTGCTCACTGCACTCTTCCCCACATGCATGTGGAAGGTGCCCAGACCACAGGGATGCTGTCTTAAAGTCCTGCATCTTTGCTGTGTAGGAACTAAGGAGAGGGGTTCCAGGAGAGACCTGGAATAGGGGAGCTGAAAGGACACCATGGCCAAGTCATTTCCTCTGTGGGGCCTTGGTCTCCTTCCTCCTCTGAACCAACCAGCTGAGCGTGCATTCAGTGTCAGCTGACTGCTGGGACAGTGGCTGGCCTCCACACCCCACATTAAGCCACTGCCCGCTGCATCCTGGCAGAGCCTCCAGGAGGCCACTGCCCACCCTTCTAGGTAGCATCTCACCAACCTTAGCATCCAAACCATTTAGTGGCCTCAGGGATCCTACCAGCTTCCATCCCTGCCAGCATCTTTGCTTCCTGGATAGCTGGGGCCACACAGGAGTGCCCCATGGCCGAACTTTAGAGGTCAAGGAGACTTGGAGAATTTTTGCCACACTGAGCACTAAGATTCTGAAGAGGATCCACCTAACATCTGGAAGTCCCAAACCCAGGAATCTCCTTGACACCATCTGCCCCTTACCTCTCCTATCCCTGGCATTCATCACCTCCCTCCGTCTCGGTGCCACCTCGCGCATCAGAGCCACCCGCTCCCCCCCACACACACACCTGCAGCAGTCTCCTAACCTCTCATCCTGCATCCCAGCTCCTCAGTTCCAGGATCCAGACAGCAAAGTGATCTTTTCAAATCACGCTGTGGATCATGGCACCCCTGAGAAGGCCTGGTTGGCCTGTCTGCCCCCACTGCCTCCCCCGCCCTTCTTTGCTCTCTCCACTCCTGCCCTGTGGATTCTGTCAGGTCCCTGGTGCCCTGGGAGCCTTCACACCTGTTCTCACTCTGTCCCTCCACCCCCTCACCTGATGGCCTCACTCATCCTCCAGCTAGGGCACAGCACCCGGGCCAGCTCAGGCTCCCTGGTTACAGTTCCTCACAGAACCATCTTCTGTTTCCTTTAAAGCACTTCTCCTTGTATAATCACATTTTTTTTTCCTTTTTGTCTTTTTTACTGACCGGTAACGGGATCGCAACCCTCGGTGTTGCGCCCGCACCGCACTCAGCCAGTGAGCGGGAACCGGTCTCCACATGGGATCCGAACCCTCGGCGGGAGCGCAGCCGCACTCCCAAGCGGCGCACTCTCCAGTGCTCCACTGGGCCGGCTCCTGTATAATCACATTTTTAAGTGTGGATTTCTCATTAATGTCTGTCTATCCAGCTGACTGTGAGGTCCTTGAGGGCAAGAACCAGGGTTTTGTTCATGATAGTTTCCCCTGTCCTGGGTGTTTACTAAATACCTGTTGACTGACTGAGGGAGACGCTCCTGAGAACAACTAGAGATGGAGACAGGGAAATCCCGAGCTGAAAACAAACCCTCAAGGCTAAAGAGCAGCCTTGGAGCGATGGCTCCATCCTGCAAGGCAGGAAGAACTGCCCCCACCCTGGGCAGCAGCTTGGCACCAGGCAAGGTGTGATCCCAGGAATCTGGAAGTCAACTGAGACCAGCCCATGGGAAGCACCATGTTTGGCTGGGAAGGGCTGACAGGTTCTCCTCTTGCACACCAGGCACTGTTAACTGGAGGGATGGTGTTTCTTCTCCTTTCCCTCCTCTGTTTCACTCCACGCGGGTCCTTCTCACACTTCCTTGCCCACAACGTGCCAGAATACATGCAAGATGGCCTGGACAGTTCAGGGACTGTCCCAGCACCAAGCCCCATTCCAGAACAGTAGAGGACAGTGGAAAGGCTCAAGACCGGATTTGATGAATCCTGGATCTGCCACTTAAGACATGGGGGCCACAAGCAAGTCACTTCACCTCTGTAAGCCTCAATTTTTTTCCCCCTTAAAACAGAGATAATAATACCTCTTGGATAAGATTGCAGGAATAGAGAAAACGATGAGTGCCAAGGACCTCAGAAAGTGCTCTGTACATGGTGCGAGCTTCACAAATATTTGTTGCATAATAAATGAATGAAAGCTTTTTAATAAGTTTGGAAATCTCTTTTTTTAGAAATATTCTGTATCCCACATGAACATTAGGTTTGGATCTGTGCAAATAAGTTACGCCAATTAATCAATTTACTCACTCCACCAATGCACACTTGGAAGGAAAGCTTTTTGAAATTAAAACGCACATATGCAAAACAGCCTGGCAGGGCCCTGAGAGGACCAAATGTGATAATGTATGAGGAAGTGCTTTGTAAACTGTGAAGCCCTGTACAAATGCTGGTTGTCCTCATTACTAACATGTTTACAGCTCGGTTGGCCCTGAAATCGTTGGCTTAACCCGAAAGAGAAAAGTGGGCAACTTTCCAGATCCTAGAGATAGGCCAAAAGTCCCCAGATGAGGAGGCCTGGGCTGGGCAGTGCACAGAGCACCCTCCCCCCCGCCCTTCCCCCATGCCCCATCGTCACAACCAAATTTCCAGTCGAATCAACCAAACTATGGTAGACTCAGGACCTCTGTGCTGGGGGAGGCCACCCATTGCTACCCTCAAGTGCCCAGACCAGGGGCTACAAACACAGCAATCCCTAAGAGCTGCAGGTCATGTGGAAGAGTAAGCAGGCCAGGTGGGGGCTGAGGGAAACTGAGGCACACACCAGCCCAGGAGGGAAGGGGACAGCCATTACCCCAGTCTAGCAACCATTGGCATTGTGCAAGCCCACTGTTGCCAGAGCTAGCTTCTTTTTTCATGAGAAGCCAAAACTCCAGATTTTTATATGAAATTTCTTGGTTTTCAAATACTGGCAACTAATTTTTTAAATGTTTAAAACATTGTGTGGGCCAAATAAAACATGCGCGCAGGTTGCAGTCGGCCAGTCGCCTCCAGGCTGCAGCTTTGGCAAGCAGGCCCCGGCTTCCCCCAGCCCAGCCCTCTTGGGACATACTAGATCCCTATGTCTCTGACCCTCAGGGGAATCCCGGTGGGCTCAGAAGAGGTTGCCCCTTGGGCGGAGGACTCACCCTCTTCTGCAGGGGCTCCTCGGCCCTCCTTGGGGGCGCAGCAGCCATTCTCCACTGCTCTGGAGGCTTCAGGCAAGGTCTCAGCGGCACCCTCTCCCTCTGCTGGGGCCCCGCCCTTCTGTCCTCCGGCAGGGCTCCCCTCCTCTGGCTGGGGCTCACTCCGCTTCTCCAAGTCCCCATTGGGTAACATTTCTGAAGGGCCTGAGTCCTGGGCCATGGACGGGGACTTAGAGGTCACTGGGGGGTCCTTCGGCATGTCACTGCTTTCCACCTGGAAAGATGAAAAAAAAGATACACAAGGGGAGAATTAGACCAGTGGTCTTGGTCTCTTTTAAATCACTGACCCCTCTGAAATTCTTGTGAAAGTTATGCACCTTCTGTCCAGAAATTTGTGCTCACACAAACCTTCATGCAAGCAGATACATTCACAACTTTGTTTGCAATAGCAAAGGGTTCATGGGCCTGACCCCTTGCAGTCAAGAGGTCTGTGGACTCCAGCTTAAGAAACGGGAGAAGAACCCAAGCAGGTCTGCCAGCCTGGTCCCACGGCCCACGGGGCACCCCACCCCCCTACTCACTGAAGTTACATAGGGCTTTCTCTGCAGCCCCTATTTAAAAACAAATGTTCCTCATGCTACCCATAATTTGAAGAAGAAACCCCCTACCCCCCACGCCTACCTCAAGATTCAAATGCCACCAGATCAATTCTGGGAACCCCAGGCCAGCCTGACTTCTGCTGTAGAACCCTCCCAGATTTTCCTCTTGCATGAGGGTCAATGGAGGCCTCCCCAAGCATTCCTGGCCCCCCAGCCTAGTGCAGCTCTTTCCCCTCAGCTCAGGTTCCCACGAGTCATCCCAGACACTCAGACCCAGAAGAGCCAAGGCTCTAGCAAGCAATTTGCAGTCTCTCCCAACACAGGGTCCCACATTACCCCCTCAAAAGGGAAATGCATTGCTTTATCCCCTAGAGCCTGAGAAATGGACTTGCCAATGTTCCAGGTAATAAAAATCAAATAAAGAGTAATCCTAACTGTCTGTGTACATGTCCCTGCATGGCAGGCAAAGCTCTTTCTTACCCATTACCTCATTAGAGCCTTTAACCTCCCTGGGAAGCAGATGAGGATCTCAGAGCTCTCCAAGAATTTTGTGATTTGCTTGAGGTCACAGGACTTGCAAGGTCAGGGCAGGTGCAGGAAAACTGGATGCCCTCTGTGCTGTGCTGTGTGCACACACTCTGTCCTCAGCCATCTGGAGGCAAGTGGGCAGGGACATCTCAGGAAGAATGAAGGTGCCCAGTTTGGGGCAGGAAGAGGCAAGGGCCCCCATGCTCAGTGCTCTGCCACACCGAAGGGCACCAGGCTGCTCTTGGCAGCCATGCCCCACGCACTGCATCTGCAGAACACCTGCCTGGGACAGGGGCAGGGGCATTGTCAGCTCAGCAAGCCTCAGATACAGCACTGTTCTCAGAGCACTTTGGTTTCACCACCAGTAAGGTGAGATGACTAGGCTAGACTAGTGGACATTTTGTCTTTCTTTCTAAGTCTTTATTTTTTCCTATTTATAAAAGTTGTAAACAGGTATCATAAAAATTCAAACTAAAAGGGCCGGCCCATGGCTCACTTGGGAGAGTGCGGTGCTGATAACACCAAGGCCATGGGTTTGGATCCCTATATAGGGATGGCCGGTTGCTCACTTGGGAGAGCGTGGTGCTGACAACACCAAGTCAAGGGTTAAGATCCCCTTACCAGTCATCTTTAAAAAAAAAAAAAAAAAAAAATTCAAACTAAAAAATGAATAGTGTTAGGCTGGCCAATTAGCTCAGTTGGTTAGAGCGCAGTGTTGTAACACCAGGGTCAAGGGTTCAGATCCCAGTACTGGCCAGCCACCAAAAAAAAAAAAAAAGAATACTGTTAAAAGGTTAACGCTCCTATTTCAATTCCCTTTCCCAAAATTACTCCCCCAAGGTAAACCATTATTAACAGTCTGGCAAGCAGCCTTTCTAGACTTTTCTAGGCACCAACAATCATGTATAAGTTACATGTTTATACATATGTATTCATACACACATCTGATTCAAATTTTTTTTTCCTAAGTGTGTCATACTATTCACAATGCTTTTTTTTTTCTTTTTGTCCTTTTTGAGACCGGCCACACCGCGCTCAGCCAGTGAGCGCTGTGAGCGCACCGGTCATCCCTATATAGGATCCGAACCCGCAGCGGGAGCGCTACTGCGCTCCCAGCGCCGCACTCTCCCGAGTGCACCACAGGCTCGGCCCTCACAATGCTTTTTGTTGTTGTTTTTTACTCATGGTGTTCTGCAACTTGTGTTTTCACTTACCAAGCCCCGCGGGCATCTCTGCATACCAGGGCATATGGATCTGTCTCCTTCTGTTTCATGGATGCTCCATAATCTATGTAAATAGTTCCCTGACGGTGGGCATTTGGGCTGATTTGCTTTTTGCAGCAGTGAACGCCATTGCACTTACAGGTCTGTACACCTGTGTGTTTCTGTAGGATGGAGTTCTAGTAGCAGACTGGCCACGTTCAACAGTCTGCCCATCTAAGTGTGTGGAGATACTGCCAAACTTCCTCCAGAAAGTTGTACCCCTCAGCACACGGCCAGCACTGGCTCCCCAGCCCCTCCTCCGCTCAGCCCCTTTTCCAAGGCTGCTTCCACTCTAATAGTCTGGGACTTGAACTCCGAGCCCACTGCTATCCGGTGAGGAACCCCCAGAGGTGGCAAATGGGGATAAAGTCCTTGGGGAAACAAAGCAGAACAAAACCAGTCCTCTCAGGTCTGCTTCCCCCGGGGCACACAGAGCTGCCTGAGGGCTAGCAGAAGGACCTCCAGGGGCCACACTCAGCGGCCTTACCCAGGCTGTGCGGGTGGCTGGGGCAGGCCTGCTTGCAGGACAGCCGCCCACGGGTGCACGCGCCTCAGAGGCAGGCCGCAGCAAGGGGAAGAGCAGGCGTCTGGTGGGGGTGGGGAGTGCTCCACTGGGCTTGGGGCTGGCACAACCGGGGGGATGAAGTGCGACAAGTCGCCCCTGCCGATCGCCCCAGCGTCCATCCTGTGTCGGGACGCTCCTGGAACTCAGAATGCTCTTCCACCTCCCTGCTGCAGCAAACAGGGCACCTCTGGCCTGCAATGCTCCTCCCTGGGGTAAATCCCCTTCAAGGCTCAGACTGCCCAGGTCACCGGGAGAGTGGGGCACCTGCTGCCCAACAGCCACCCTCTGGGGTCCAGCTGTGCCAGGCACCACAGAGCCTCAAACATAGACTACCGGGGACTGGAGGGTCCCTCCTGGCCAAGTCGGGCAGAGAATTTAGGTCAGAGCTGACCTCTCACCATGGCCTGTCTTCCCTGCCTCCTGCCACTTGCTGCCCCACGGACACCTCAGTTTGGGGCGGGCTCTGAGCCCACAAAGCTGCTCGAGACAACTTCACCATCACTCACTTCCTGCCTGGAGACCACACGGCCTCCTCTCACCCAGGGACTCACTTCCTGTTGACTGCCAGCTCCACAGCAGAGACCCGGGAGTGCCAGCTTTGAGCCCCAGCACAGCACCAGGGTCCCGACCGGCCCAGTCACTCAAGCATGCCGAGCAGGCACCTGCCCCAGGCCCTGACCCGAGGACTCCAGTCTGCAGCAGCATCAGACGTACCATTCTTCCAAAGGTGCCAGCAAGGCCAGGGGCAGGGGGGCACACTGCACAGCTCCTGCCCCAGGGTTAGCTCAGCGGCTGAAATCCCCACACCCCATCCCACCAGCCCGCACCCTCCTCTCTTCCCAGCCATTCCATCCTCCATTGCCTGCCCTCTCTGGTTCTCATGAGCCCCAGGTCAGCCACAGCTCTGGGACTCCTGACTCTCGCCATGGCCAACCCTCGGTCTATCTTACCCACCACGACCCCCCCCTGAGCTGGACGTGGCCCTTCACTTGGACACTCTGGGGCCCAGGGTGACTGGGCAGGACAAATCCACCTCTAGGAAACCAGTGAGAGGCAGGAAGGAGGTCTGCAGGCGGATGGACTGAAGCACCCCTCCAAATCCCTGGGGAGGAGCTGGGTGCTCACTGAAAGGGGCATCTCAGGTGAGAAGGGCATGAACCCTGGCCTGGAGCCCAGAAGAGGACGCCCTAGCTGGCCTGGGTTCCTCTGCCCACCCCACCCCACCCCCCGACCCATGCATTCCTTTCAGCCCTTCTCTCATCTCCTTTCCCTGTCACCTGAAGGGCAGGGACTGTGCTTGATCCAGCCAGACTTAGCATGGATAGGGCACCTGACAGGTGCTCAATAAACATTCACAATCGATTCCTTAATGGCAAAGACTAGGTTAAAAGAGAGAACGCCCTGATCACAAGCTTACAGGCAGGAGCCTCAGCTTTGCTGCCATGTCAGATGTCACTGTGAAACAATCTGTTTTTGTTTGCTTTTATTTGACAGCTGCCTTGAAAGAAGACACAGCACACCCCCAAGACACTCATTTTGCCCATTACCTGGGGGCCAGGGGGCAGCACAAGCTCTTGGCCATCTTAGACGTCACCAACAGTAGTTGCAGGTGACAATTTCAGAATGGGGATAGTGAGCACTTCTCCCATGAGGGCTGGGCGGGGTGGTGGAGGGTCATGAAAGTAGTATCACCCCAGATGTGGGGCAAGCCTGGTTGGTTCTATCACCCACTCTCTGCCCACCCCACCCAGTATGCCTCAGTCTGGGTCTTCAAACCCTGCCCACCACCTCCTGGACCCCTTCGAGTTTGCTGACCTTCACCTTCCTTCCAGGCAAGACCCCTGACCTGGAGCAACTGCCTCCTGCATCTCTGCTGCCCCCCACCCCGTCCTCAGGCCTCTCCTGTGACAGTTTATTCCAAGCAGGTTAAAGCAGTGGCTCTCAAGTAGGGACAATTCTGTTACCCCCAGAAGACATTTGGCAATGTGTCTGGAGACATTTTTCATTGTCATGTGGGGATAGGGGTGTGATAGCATCTCATGGGTAGAGGCCAGGGATGCTGCTAAACATCTCTGCTGCTGTAACACACAGGACAGCCCCGACAACAAAGAACTACTTGAGCCAAAATGTCAACCGTGTTTTTGAAAACGCTGGGCTGAGGGTAGATACAATGACCAGGGACTGCCTTATTAAATACTAACCCCCATTCCCCCATCCCCAGTAACCACTATTTACATCTGTCTTTTTTATTTATTTATTTTGTGGTGCTGGTCAAGTATGGGGATCCAGAACCCTGGCCCTTGGTGTTAGAACACTGCAC